CGATGGAGGATTAAGTATGTACGGAAGTTTTTTGAAGAGTCGTGAATGTTTATATCTACGGGTTCATTTTATTTATTTCGCGTGAGGCAAGAGAAGTTCGAGGGACACACATATCCACCACGGCTATAAGATGAATTAATCAAAATAACACCTTTTATACATATATTACGTATAGGCCTAAGACATAAATGCAGTATGTGCCTTTTCTGTTGAGTATGTAAGTGGATTTTTTGTATCGACTGACGACGTTTGGCGTTGCAGGGTTTTCAGATGCCACGTCTGCAATGTGCCAAAGCGTAGCTCTGACCAACTACGGGAACATAAATCTTATTAATGCTCCATTTAAGAAAAAAAACTTTGGCACAGGGGAAGTCTGGAAAACTTTAAATTACATTTTCTACATAAATGTCAGCGTTTTGAAAAAAAAATAACGAAGGAAACCATATTTGATCACGTTACAACGTTCATACCTGATATTAGGGATATGTATTTAAATGTTACAAAACACATTTGGCCTAAATATTAATTTAATCCGATACTGAAAACGTATGTACATGTGTTTCGTTTAGATGGAATAGGTTTTGAAGTTCGACCTCTGAGGGACCTAATTTGCAGCATTATATAGAAAATAAATTTGTTTTTTTTTGTAAAAAAATACTTGTTTTATTTCTAATTTGCTTGCAGCATTATATAGAAAATAATTTTTTTTTTTTGTAAAAAAAAATACTTGTTTTATTTCTAATTTTTAAAACATGAGACTTGTTGCTGATATTGTCTAAATCTGCACTCAGACCAAGGAGTAAAGTCAGAAATGATTCACAGTTTGGCCACGGATGTCGGCCTTCGACTGTTTGTGTGTTTTGGGGCGCGCTCGCTCACGAGTGTACGAAGACAGTTTGTGCCATGATAACAGGGACATGAACGTGAAGATCATGAAGTTAACTTTTCAGTACGGTTAAGGAGAAGTGAATGTATTATAAATAAAAACGGAAGAGCAGACCATGAAAAGTGAAATTGACTTCGTAACATTTTATCACTCCTTTTTTTTTTTTCATTTGGCCATCATAACAAAATATTGTATTCTAAATATTTATCATATATTGTACATATTTTATTACCAATGCCCTCCAAGGATAACATTTATTGGACACATGGGGTGGTCTCTGGTACTGAATCTAGTCGTTCATCTGGGTTATATGGCTGTGTTTGTTTTACTTTTCTGTATGTTTCTCTGAAATATAATTAATTTTAGGGGTTTAAAAAAGGCACATGGTTTGTGAGTGTGTGTTTTGTCCTTTAGACTGAGAATATTATTTTGTAATAGACATTATGAAGAAAATACATGGACATAATTTTGAACAGTTTTGAGTTCTTTAGTTTGGTAGGTAGCCAGAAGTGATTGAAGTTTTTGTTTGAAAAGTTTTGGAGATGATGATGAAGAAGAAGAATAAGAAGAAATATATATATATATATATAATATATGAAATCACAAAATGAGGGGTCAGACATTCCTTTTAATTTATTTTATTTCTATTTGCAGATCAGAATTTGTAAATGAATTATTGAACAAAATTTCAGAAGACTAAAAATCACTGAAAATTATAAAAACGGTTGTCTTTTTTTTTTTATTAGATTATTTCCAATCCAGTTCCACCTCGTGAAACCTTCCTCTGAAGACAACTAAAATGACGACTGATCTCAAAGTTACGTGATGTAAAAATATTGCAACAAACTGCCTATTTCCAAAATCTCGTTCTTTCCGTCAAAAAGAGTGAACATTTCTGCAGTTTCTGTCAGAGCCGAAATAATCCGAGGAGACCGAAATTTGTTTCCCTGCTCATCAGTTTTGTTTGCCTTCAGATCCTTGCCCTTACTACGCCTTGATCTTAATTCTCATTCTTAAGCTGTCACGGATTAAGCCGTCTTCCGTGTTCCGGTTCAGACGTAATCCTCAAACCAACATTTGACTCACTCCTTGAATGTGACATTGGTCCAGTGCACAGAGTGCTCGGACGTAGTGCTCGCATCTTCATATCCGTAAGACCCATTTTAATATTATCATCCACTCTACACCCAGATGTGCCCAAGTTTAGGATTCCAATGCGTGCTGAATGTTTTTCCCATCTCCCGCAACTTGTTAAGGGGCGCTGCGCGCGTTCAGAAATTTATTCTGAATCGGATGTGGTAAGAGGGACCAATTTAAACGCACTCGATGGTCTTACGAGCGTCACAGATGACCCAGAAAGTTTCCGGTCGTCAGCTCTCTTGATTCCTGTCTCGCCTTAACTTTTACATCCCGATTCTGTACAGAAATAACCACAGCCCATGCCCTATAAACAGAAGTGAATCAAGCAGTCAGCCGGTTCTGTCCTGCAGCCTGCCAATTTCTCCCTAAACCTGGCAGTATTTCACGACGAACCAAACATTCCCTCTGCAGTGACTCACGCCCTGCCCTCTGTCCCAACACGTTTCATGAAAATACATCACTGATTCTTCAGGTAATTAACAACGCTAATTCATGTTACTCACTGTCCAATGATACCGATACAGAACAATGAAAGAGTAAGGATAGGACAGGAAGCTCAGGTTATATGTCGTAAGTCCCTAATACTGGCATCTGCTTCGCGGGATTCAGAAAAAATCAGGATGGCAGGTCTCGGGGGCCAAGTTTTGAACCGCGGACTTCCATACCATTCGTGTCTCCTCGTACAC